AGACGAATACGATGAAAAACAAACCATTCCAAATGAAAAGCTTTCCTAAAATATGAACGATTGAAACGCAAAAACAAAATTCAATTTCGGCATTGTATCGGTATTTTTCCCATAAACATTTATCTGGTGCCAGAATACCGGCGCCGTCCGACATTGATCTGATTACATTAGTATGCAACTTCTTGCATTTTCGTTGGGTGTTAACTTCATAAATATGTATTTGGTACATTTTAGCGCACGGTTTTATGATAATCAATGTTTTGTTCCATTGATTTAGTATTGGAGTGCTAAGTGCGCTTAATAAATACTTTGACTAGGTTAACTGCAGTCTCATAATACTTCATAAATTGTGATGCACGGAGTATGGTGTTACGTTAGTTGTTATTCTGATCACACGTTGTTATTAACAGGCTTTGAGGCGTGCAACATCCTTCACACCTTTATTTATTAATACACCAGTTTGAGACATTTTCTATTTAGTTGTGGCAGAAAATACTAAAGGAATAGGTTGCCTGTTATTACGTATATTTGTGTTATGTATAATGTTGGGTGATTTTGTTTTCTTTGCTTTGAAATTTACATAGATTTAGCAGACATCATGACATGGAATGACTTTGAACTAGATATCATGAGCTGCAACAAGTTTTCATAAAATCTTTTTACTAATCACAATAAAGAACTATTTTCATTGTAACACAGATGGTTTTAATCTAATTAAAGTAGACTTGTCCTCATTATTTTTTCACATACAGACAGATAATACAAATTAAATTAGTCAAACACTAAGTCTTACAAATCATTGCCATGTGTCGGAATTATAAATCAACAAAAATAGTCTATGTCTGGTTCATCTCTATGCTCTATTTGGCGGGTTTTTTTCTGTCATTTTGACAATTAGGTCAAGGAAGAAGGTTGGTTATCATCTAGCGTGAAACGAAACATCTGACATTTCCTTTATTACAGTCATGTTATGAGTGAATAGGGAGTAAGTAATAAATCTGGATTTTTGTGAGAAATGAACTAGAGCGAAAAATTATCCGCCCTTTTGTGACAAGAACGACATTTCTGGATAAAGACGTAAGCGCTGTCATGCGTGTCTGTCTTTTTAAAAATAAATATTATTTTTAGGTTAGAATCAGATCATAGCAAGAGTCTTTATTTATTTCGTAGTTTTGATAAAATCAAAACTCTTTTGTATTATCTAAAGTTCTTGTTTTATATTGCCTAAAAACTAAACCTATATTTTGCTCGTGTTCGTTCCTACATAATCTTGTTCATGTTATGGGACAAGGACAGTTAAGTTATACAAATTACTCACATTACACACGAATTGAGGATCACATAATTGCGTTTTTGGCGTTAATTAGAACAAAATGGCGACTAATAAGACTTGTTTTACATGCTAAGTATTATTTTTACGTGACCAACGTATTTTTAAAGTGTTTTAGACATATCTTCGGTCAAATGTCACTTAACATTAATTAAAGACGGTTCAATATCTAGGTATATTTTCACTATGAAATATAAAATTGAATCTAAGAGTGAAGCTATTTCTTCTACCACATTCCCAGCTAAAATTTAAAACCATTGAAGATTAAGGAGCTCCTATATTTACATAAACATGGGATTTCCGCAGTAGCCATAATATATTATTAATAAACTGTACAATATAAAGGCGACACTTCTCAGAATATCTAAATCTAAATTCGCTGAATGTCTTCCGTGAAAGTTCCTTACAAATTTATGGAAATATAGCCTCTATTCTTAAGTCAGTAATGATCACTATCCTAATAGCTAAATAAGGAATTGGTATAAAACTTATGTTTGGTTTGTTTTACTTAGAAATGAGTAAGTAATGTCAATAATAAATTGTGAGCCGTACTTGCAAGGTAATGGTGGTGACTTTGGAATATTTTGATAGAAAATACAAGTTTATTTGTTCATATTAATAATGATTAAGAAATATTATACAGTTTAACCATTTTCAGATTCGAGGCGAGCAAATTACAAGGTGAAAATAACATTAATAAAGAATATAATTATTTAAATGTTCTGTCTTAAAAGTCCAAACTCGTTTCTAAAACCAACCAATAGATGGTAAAGAAAAATATGACGTAAAAAGTTAATCTTCGTAACATTTCTGATTGTTAAAACTTTCTGATATTCCTATGCTCCACGTAATGGCAACTAACTCTTGCAATTTTTGTAATGAACTCTTTGTTTTAATCTGGGTAATACCTTAACCAAATCAAGGAAGTTATAAACAATACGAGAATTCAAGAATTAAGCACCAAGAACACGAAATAAGGAGACTAACTTCAACCAAGGACGATTTATTTTAGACTTCAAACGAAATTACGTATAGACCTATAGAAGTACTTATAGGTATGTTTGTAATGTGTAGAATAAAGACGACTTCAACTACATCTAAGAAACCTGATTAACATGAAAATTAATGGTCAGTGTGCGCCATAAATATGCGTCTACGCGTGACAAGTACACTTAACGCCACAAATATCGCACCAAAAATATATCATTTTATAAACGCATTATTGCGCTTATTGTGAATGAGTGACGCTCTTTTGAACTTTCATTGTTTAAAATAGCATATCAAACTACCTTAACAAATTAAATTTAAGTATTTTCAACTTTATTCTTGTGATGGAAAAGTCTGAATTCAATTGGGGAATTTGTGCTGGTTCTTTGCATCATAAGTTGATATTGTCACAATTTTGACGTTTCGTGCGTGAGTGTATGAGTGGGAGTGTGACAACTTTTATTATTAAAACAGTTGTTTTAAGTTGAAGTGAAGTGAGTTGTGGTTTCCGGGCTACGTACGTACGTACTATCATATTTGTATGCCAACGTGTGTGTAGTGTCACTTGTTCGAATTATAACAAAGCCTATTCTTTGGGGCGATCATTTGTCATTCGCTTTCAGCGATTAATCTCTCAAATACATATGTATGGACTTAAATTTAAATAAATGAAATTCTCACACAATCTTAAAACACTTTCATATTAAAGCACACTTATAATGTTTATCACAATCATTTGTACAGCGATGAAATGTAATTTCAACTCTTCATATATTATTAGCGACCTACAGTATTAATCCTTTGGTTTTTAAACAATAATCCTGACCCAAAGAGCACGCGACACAAACAGCTGTGTTGTTTATGGAATTATGTCCATAATTAAGAAAGCAGTAGATATGTTAATTCTGTGACAGCTGTGGTTCCGCCTTTGATCACGTGGGTCAGTAGTTTCCGTTACTTGCACGCTTCGCTACTTGCAGAGGTGCGGGCCTAAGATTAATAAGGGTTGAATACATCATATGCTTCAACTAATTTTCATAAAGGTAATGAACGTAGATAATTTTCTTAACGATCTAGAGATATTTTCATATGTTCTTCTAACATCCCTAAATATTATCTAGGTACCTACTCATTTTAAGTATTTTTATTATTGTTTGTGATTACAAAACATTTTCAATTTGAGGTAGTCCATCAAATAACAATCGTGTACAATATACATTATGTACCTATATTTATACAAAAAACATCATAACATTTGACGTCACTTAACCATAATTATCGAATAAGGAACAAAACAACAACGCCAAATAAATTAATTCCGTAAATAAGACGCTGACAACCCTAAACTGTCGTTCGAAATTTGAACAATGAAGCCAGGTGCGCACGCGCTTATGGCGCGCGACAGGAAGTCGATAGTTTATCTTGAAGATAACCGACACATCTCTAGAATTCATAATGTGTAGCTTATACGGGTATCTCAATTAGTAATTAAGATTAGGTATAGGCTTAATTGGGATTAGGATAGCACTTCGTTTATAATGTGGAAGGTGGGGACAATAATTGCGATTTAATGGTGGAAGTGTTGTCTTGGATAGTTAAGTAAACCTTTACGCCAATACAAAATAGTTCCAATTGTTATTTACATATATTTCTATAGGCAAATAAACCATTTACATGTAATTAATGAAAATATAGAAAGAGACAAAAATTTAAACTGATTTGAATTTAATTATTATTCCATTTAAACACATATACAAATTATTTGCGGGCACCAAATAAAAAGTACTATATTAAAAGCTCTATTGTATAACAATTACCTAATAGATAAGCAATAACCTGTTCAGATGTTGATATTTTATAAACACTGGGGTATTTTAGCGCCCGCAAAGATATTTGTGTAGCCCGTGCCGTAGGTAAACGATATAGGTAGACAAAAACAAAAACTATTCCGTGTAAAACAATATTCCATTACCTCAGTGTTCAAAATATTTGCACTGCAGTGTACACACTGATAGGGTTGTCAGTATTAAAAAACGTTGATTTTCTTTTTATTTTTCGGTGTATATTCGTCCATATAAGTGTGCTAAAAAGATTGTATATGTAAGAAAATAGTAATTGAAGCTTTTACTTCGAAACAACTAAGACGAAGGCAGAAGGCAGAACGTCACACGTAATGAAAAATATAGTTCGTTAAAGATTATAAGCAAAACAAAAATACTTAATTCAATTTAACAAAAAATACTTAGTTTTGAGAACAATTTACTTTGCTTAGGTTTTAATTGCATCTGTCAGCCCTAGCACACGTGCAGACATACACTGTTGGCCAGCAAAAAGGTACACTTTAAGAGAAGTATACGTCATTGATCGGAGCGAGCTCCAAGGCCGTATACAAATAGAACCTTCCACTGAAGCTATCACATAAACACATGGCCTCGCTATAAAAGGATTTTTCCAACCTTTTTTAGATATTGCCATGGTAAAGTTTCCTTGAGAAACTGAGACTGAAGGTTCTTCGCAAAAATGACCGTAGTTCTAGTTTCTAACCTTTTTTCTTTATGTGAATCGATTTTTACTTGGCTTGTTTCAGAAGAGGTTAAGTGAAATAATGTTTTATCTGAAATATCACAATCGCAGGCCTTAAATATGATATGAAGAGAAGCTGCAGCTTATAGATATGACCTACCTGACTAGGATGGTGTCGGTACAGATACAGCTTAGTCCCGTGCAGCACTGCCCACACCTGCTTCCAGGATCTGTCACTTGCGCGCTGTTGGAAAAAATAGAAATGTTTATATCGGATATAGTTTACGAACAACGAGTACGGCGCGGCGGTAGCTCTACTAGTTTCAAATCACACCGGGACTCTTATCCGTAACAATCTAACAAAATAAGTCAACTTAACAAATACATTGTTTTTAACATTTTTAACTTTCAGAAGAAATTAGTATATAATGAGTGTTTGTTGTTTATCCCGATTTTAAAGAAAGTTAAAGCGGAAGTATTTCTAACACATTTCCTTTTGGAGAATGCTTGTTTTTTTTTAATAGATTCTTTCTTTGTATTTTATAGATTGCTTCTAACTACGTTCAAATTTTTGAGACATTCTACACATTTTTATTTATATGACAGGAAATCCATTACAAACTCCCTGACCCACAGAATTTTAGTTCATTTATTCTACTCAAGCGATAGACAAACAAGGTTGTAGAGAACCGCTTTACTAGGAAGTGCAATAATTAAGATACGGGGTCTATAATGGCGGGAGATATGCTGCACTATTCTCTAAGCCTCTAAATGTACATTCCTGATAAATACCATTAACGTTAGTTTAGAAAATGGAACTTGCTTTAGAGGTTGGTTAAAATATTTCATCCTACATGCATGCGTATTTAATTATTAGTGGACAATATAAGAACAGTGATTCGGTTTTTTTATTGACATTTAGAAAATCCATCTTTGAAACCGCAAAAGACGTTTGCTTAACAAGACTTTAGGAATTATATTAAGAGGGTTTTATACCAACTACATGTATTTTAATAAAAGGTAATCTATATAATTTTTTAAGATTATTGGTTATGGAAAAACTTTTTGCTTTTAATTTTCTAATCAAGAATGGACAACAGCACAAAAACTCAGCTAAAGTTTTTAAAATAATTTTATCTCTATTCCAAAATCACAAGGTTGAATGTCTACCAGAACATGGGGTTACTTTATCTGGTAGAATTATAGATACATATAAACATACCTTTCCATTACTGACCACCATTTTGATCTGCACATTGCCCTGTACATCTCCCTCTGTGGCCTCTACTGCATTCTCTGCAATTTCTTCTTCTCCCTTTTTCGTAGTGCTAAATAAATAAACACAGTTTTAATACGAATAATCCTATAAAACTTGGACGGCTTCCTGTAGACAAATCGCTTTAATGAATTAATGCTAATATACTAAGTCAATAATAGTTGTTTTATTTTCTTTTCTACTGAATTTTGAGTACTCCGAGCAACAATGCCGTTAAACTATCTTGGCAGGTGAATAATTTCTAGCAAAAACCGTAATGTTTTCGAGTTTTTTAAGGTCGCTTTTACAAAAGCATAAAATATAATTTGAAAATCACACTAGGTATACCAACCATAGTTCGTACTTAATAGGTACTTTATCTATATACTTACATACATAATTATAGGTAAACATCTATATTGAACAACGAAAAAAAAACAAAAACATGCCGTATATACATTCAGACATTGAATTTTACGTACATACAGTACAGAGGGCAACATTGAACTTTTACATCGAGCATGCAACACATCAAATTTAGAAAAACGTTTCTCCATGCACTTTTCCAGTTATTTTTAAACAATATCGACGTCCGTTCCATCGAATACGATATTTACAAAGCTCTCCCCAAACAAGTTAATTTGAAAATCGATTTGCGGATGATCTTTTTTAAAATGTTGGTTGGTCAATTAACGTCGTTATTATATGGCGTCATTGACTCATGATAATCAATACTTACCAATGAATTTAATTATGAACAAGCAGTGCAATGCAATTTTAATCCAATACTTTACATTAAAACATCGAAAATTAAGTTTGTTTTTAATTTGGCTACTAGCGGCGCTATCTATGAACGCATTCGTGTAACTATTTGCACACATTGCAAAGCGCCATCTATTGGTGGGACGACGTACCGCGCGGGGAGGACAGCTTGTGGGTCGAATATTCGCAGCAGCGGAGTTATGTCATCCGTGAACCGAGGGGGGCGCCACTTTCGCAGTCTGCGTTTTGAACCCAATCACATACCCCGTTAGTACAATTTCACATTACCAATTGAACCCACGCTATGTTAGGTACATAATTATTGTTACTTACTATTCGCTACATACAGTTCGTAGCAACAATCGTCTATCTACAACATTTCTATGACACAGTAAGAATAAGTATACCAATTGGTGCTAATCACAAATGTTATCTGACAAGTATGAACGGTAGTTAACTACTTAGGTTCTACTGGACACTGGACAGATCTAATACAAGACAACAATGTATCATTTGTGTATGTCACTTCACAAAATCTGTTCAAAGTGAAAATGCAAATAATATTGTTCAAGAACAAAAGCTTAAGGTGACAAAACAAATGAGAGGTTTCAATGTATATTGTTGTAGTGAAAATACTTGTGACTAGCAGATATTGGTGATGGAGTAGGGTACATACCCTCTAAGGCCTTGTGGGTCGTTCTCTGGTTCGACGTCACTATCAAGGTGCAATCGGTCACCCCATGTAGCTTTCAAGTAGGAAACCCTTCGCATGGCACGTTCTTCTTCTGCTTAAAAGGTAAATAATTATTAGGCCAAATATTATTCAAATTTAAGTCTAATAGCCATTTGAATAAAGTTTTATTCTGTTAGTTAAAGTTCATTGGATACTGACCACCAAGTTGAGCATCTTTCTTTTGTCTTCTAGTCACCAAATCATCGGCAAAACCTGTGCAAACAAAATACTTTGTAAGTCGGGGTTCTGGATAGGAGGGCACCACGTATATTAGTATATTAGACATCGAATGACCACGACGGTTAGTTCTGCATTAGTAGCACACCTATAAGCACACAGCATTCCTTGGAAACGTTTAGTAGAGAAGACAGGTTAAGTCCGAATCGCCTCCTCCCTCGTCTCAAAACAATATCAGTAGCTACCGACACTGTTTTGAAAGCCTGAACGGTAAAACCACGAGCATGGATCTGATGTTAGTCCAGATTGTTAGTATTCGAGCAGGAAATAAGTCATTGCTGAATATCGCGATGCGTTACGGCATTAAAGTAACAGGCAATTCCGGCAGCGGTGACGCCTCAACCTTGTAGAAAAAATACTACAAACTTAAGGCGTCGACAGAGCCACAGATTTATTAGTACACAGATTCTCGACTTCCACAATTCGTCCACCAGGTATACGGGTGTATGTGTAACATGGAGTAGAACAAGGTGCTGGGTAACGAACAGGGTTTCAAGTATCTGTGGAGTAATCTGCGGCGAGTCTAAGTTGCACATGCAGCGCGACGTTGCAGACGGCAGGCAGGGCAGGGAGGGGACGAGAGCATTCCGAAAAGACGAGGCGTGTCTCGCGGGACCTGAGTCGGCGGGCGTGCTAGGCGTCGGCGACGGCGAGGTGGCGGCCGAGGCCGAGGAGTCGGGCGCGGGCGGCGCCAGGCTGAGCTGCGTGGGGCGCGCGCGGCCGTCGCCGTTGACGGCGCCCAGCGACACGCGGTTCATCGCCTCCATCTGTTCCTTGTTCAGGCCCATTCGTCGCTTCGCGTGACTGCCATCTTGGGGCGGAACGGTGCCATTAGACGCGTGCCAAGCTGTGTAAGTGTGTGTGTGGCCTACCCTTCTCATTGGTCAGCGTTGGCTTCAAGCGATTGGTCCGCGGTTTTATTCGAATGCGCATTTTATTTTATTAGACAACATCTTCTTTATTCAAAATAATATTAAAGAAAGTTAAAGAAAGAATTTCAAAAGTGAATGACTGAATTTAAAGAGAAAAGTTTAAAAATCAGAATGAATACAATTAAAAGTATTTGTGAGACAAAGATTGTATGATGCATTCAAATAAAAGAAATTGTGAATAAGCGGTCGCTTACCAATAAGCCCAAAGCTAAGACTAGAGAATCGCAACTTGTTTAAAAACATTAGTGTAGTGAGTGTAGTGTATGTGAAAAAACAAGATTAATTTATGGGTGGAAAGTTCATAAATGTCGGGCAGGATATGTGTTCTGGGCTCATAATTATAGGCTTCAAGAGTTACAGACTTTAAAACCTCGTTAGTTATGTTTTTAAAAACATTGTTTAATTGAATGTAACGAAACGACAACACAAATGCATTTGTTTTAGTTGTAAGTTATCAATTGGTTTCGTATGGAAATGAGAAGTGAAATCTATAAAAACATCAGGCTATGGTCTATGAACTTCCCACCTTAAAACACTAAAGTGAATGTGTAGTGATGTGAAATCCTACTAGTGATGTGTCTAAGTGAGATTATCGATAAATATGTTACCTGTGGCATGATGTCTTCTAATGGGTAATCCATCACTTCCGGTACTATTCGACCTTGTTCGCATTTGAACCTTTTCTGTTTCTGCTGTAAAAAAACAAAAAATGAAATATTAATTCTAGACAAAAAAGATTACAGTTTAGTTTCATTAAAAGATAATAAACTTTAAGGTTAAGTCAATTAGGTTTCATTTATCATTGGCGTTGACGAGATATTAAAATTATAAATACTTAATTTATGAGATACATAAGCATGACTTCAAACAATAAAGAAGGTAAAATAATTTGTCAATCAAAAATGAGCTTAAACTTTTAAATGTTAAAGTTGATTTCGTACCGGGCACATATCCGTCTGGCGGAGGGCAATGTAAGTGTTTGCTGCCGGTGATCATCAGCTGATTGCCTGATAAGCTGCCGCCTAATGGTGACTCGTGTTCTAATTCTGAAAGAAAAATTATTTTATTACTTATTAAGATAATTCTATTATATTGTACTGATAGTAAGAATATTGCAATCGCAACATCAATGATGCAATAGATGGTCGTGGTTAAGAGAGATAAAAAATTTAGACTTGAAATATTTCCAGAAAATAACTAAATCCAATGATTGGATGGATCTGGATTAGATCATGGAGATCGGAGTTGGATCATATGGAGTTGCTAAGCAACCAATGTTATTGTTAGAACTGGCATAAACCAAACAATGTAAACGCTGCTGTCTATGTGGTTATAGTCATTTTTTTCTGTCATATTTCAATTTTTCAACTGTTGTTCTGTGAGTAACTGAGCTACAAATAAATCCAACGTTATCGAATCAATCTTCCTAATTATTTGCCAATTCCGATCAGACATCGTGGATGAGGGGAAAATCATCAAGAGTCAGACTCTTACTGACTGAAAACCTCCCCGTTCCTTCTATTGCTCTGGGCCGAGGCCACGGTGCCTCATTGCGCTTGCCCTGCAACCCCAGCTGAATATCAGCCCCGTCTGTGGTGGTGAATTAGCTCTTTGAGGCGCGCGTGGAACGCTACGCGCCGTACGCTCGAATTTGGTTACCCTTTCTCGCCGTCCGCAGACCCGTGCTAACGGTGGCCGGATATCATCTCTCGCTATCAATGAGTTTGCGAGGCTTACCTTGAGGCTGTACATCCAGAGACCGCGCTTCTCTCCTGGCGGCGCGGGTCTCGAACTCCTTCCTGCGCAGCGCGACGCTGGGCTCGAGACGCGTGGTGGTGAGCCGGGCGAGCTCGCTGCGCGCCACCTCGCGGCGCGACCAGCCGCCGCGCGCCTCCTCCAGCTGCCGCGTCCGCGCCGTCACTAGCTGCAGCTCCGGGACTGGGTATCTGGGGGACCAGTGTCTCGGTAATACCAGATGATGGTGACAACAAAATGAAGATCAATGAGAAAAATGACCTAACTTAGCTTATTTCTTGTCAGATTTGTCAGTGATCAGAAAAAGAGGATTAAGGAGAACAAGGATCTAATTGAGCTTATGTTTATGCATCGTGGATTAAGATGAAAGAGTATCGAGACATGAAGAGCGAACATTTTGAGATATACTGGCCAGTGGACAAAGTTTAAGTTTACATGCTTGGCAACAATTTCAAATACATATTGCAATTTCGAATAATATTTAGTGGGCTCCGCAAATCGTCCCCGTGACCTTTTTTATTGATACAAAAAAGGCTAATCAGTTTAAAGCAATCTTGTAAGAGGAAAACTCACTTATTATCCTGGTTCGCATCATCTTTATTGTCCGTGGCTCCATTGCTGACAGTTCCCACATTCGTGCTCTGAATGCTGGGCGCCGTCTCCTGTATCTTCGATAGCGTCGACACGAACTGACTCTTGTCCTGTTTCTGCTTGTTCTTATCGTTCTGAGCTCCATTCACTTCGCCGTAGCCACTGTAAGTGCCACTATCGACACTCGCAGAACATTCTTCTTTTCTTTCTTGGTTCTGTGCTGGAGCTTGAGGGGGTGGTGACGCAGCGAGGGGAGGAGACGCCGCGGGAGGAGGCCACGCCGGCTTCTGAAGCTTCTGAGGCCTGGCGTAGAACTCTTTCTGTTTGATAGGAGGTGGGGCGTCGGGTGTGACCCACCCGGTGGGCTGACTTGGCCGTCGAAGGAACGCCTCCTTCTGTTCAAGACTTTTTCGTATTCGCGATAGGATTATCGAGTCGTCCAGCTCTCGCCCCGTTAGGGTAGAGTTCGAGTCGAAGGATCCCAGGCTGTCTTTGCTTTCGGTCGCCGATGATGGCAGCGAAGTATCCGACTCCCGTCTGCTGCGAATAAAGGATGCGTTTATAACATAATTTATTTGCTTATTAAATTCATGAATAGAGTTTAATAACAAAATTGTATTCAGCGGATCTTTAAGATAGATGACTTTGAAATAAGAACCAAAATGATCTTACCCATCGTGCATTAGATAATGTGGAGGGCCAGGTAGACGCGTGGCGTCGTACCTCGAGGGTGCCAGGGACGCCACACTGGCGTACTCCGGGTCCTCGCGATGTCGAGCTGGCGCCTGAGGGGCCGGCAGCGCAGCCCTAGGCCGCCGGTAGGCGTCGAACAGCCGCGATTCGTGTTCTGTGACTGGCGCCGGCATGTCTAGCGGACGCTGGTTTGTTTCTGGGTTGTAAGCTGCTTCGCTGAAATACTGCGAAGGAGGATCAAGTTAGTAAATAGGCCTTCAGTACGATGATGATTAACTGGATATTACTTTCTTAATATACGAACGAAGCTATCTCTCGTGAAGTATAGACTTAATAAATTATAGATTGAATGTTAAGTGTCGTTGATAATTAAAGAGGCTTCATACTACGAACTGAGTGCATAGTGCGACTTTGTCTTGCGTTAGGCGATCGACACAGTTTCGATAATGTTCGGCGCCTCGAACGTCAAAACACTATCAGTGGTTGTTGCTAGTTAAAACAAACTTGTACCAAGCACTCTGATAATGTTTATTACTTTACGCATTTTCTATTTCAGCCGTAAACACACACATCAACACTCACCCTTTGCAATAAATCGTGGTCCCTAGGCACGACAGTCAGCCTTAATATTTTGGGTTCCCGTTGCGCCAGTTGCACGACCCTCGCGTACGGCGCCCGGGACCGGCCGCAAGCGACCGGCTCGCCGTTGACGGCTAGCACTCGGTCGCCGGCGCGCAATCCGGCAGCTGCCGCCGGCCCGCCCGGCCTCACAGACCTTACGAAGATCGTGTCCATTGGCGCACCCACCGCGCCCACCGCCAGGTGGCGCGCATCTTCGTATAGATCCTGGAATAATACACAATAATCATTGCGATTTAGCTGAACAACAAAATAACTATAAAATAACGAATATCCACCCTTACGTTGTTGAGACACCTGCGGCCCGGACTAAGCGTTTTGCCTCGTCATTTATACCGCGTACATCGAGGGATTGGAACAGTTTGCCGGCTGCAGTCTTTCCGTCCGAATACAATTTAGGTGTCTTCAGGGCTAGAGTGAATAGGCTCTTAATAAACTAATGCGCCTTACCATCAACGATTGCATCACTGCTTACCATCAGGTAGGATCACAGTCAAGCACTAGTTTATTGGAAGTATAAAAAAAAAGAACTAAGTACGACATATGACAATCATGTTTATCCACCCTTCTAGGGTTGAAAGCAAATAACATTAGAATGTACCTAGATGTCAAAAGATATGAAGAGATCTCATTTAATGACACGGAATTTCTAACACAATTTGATTACTGTGTACTACCTACTCGTGTCACTGAAATATCTACACTCCACACTATCTTAAGAACATCCGTAAAATCGCATATTCAAGCATAATCTTTGAAGTGGTCTCCTTATCTTGTTACACGCTGTGCAATCACAAGTGCAGCTGATTTGCACATGCAATATTATCGTGAAATATGCAGGAAACGTTAACGGGAGCGTTTACCAAATTTCGAGAGAAGTGTTAAAAATTTTTAGTTGAAAAAGGACATCTGTCGAATGAATGAATAGGCAAAATGTAGTTCACTTAATTTTCATGCTTCAGCACGAATGGGTCGGCTCGACCGGAGTGATACCACGGCCTCACAGAAAACCGGCGTGAAACAACCACAGCGTTGTGTTTCGCCGTGTGAGTAAGGTTACCGGAGGCCCAATCCATCCCCCTCCCGGACCCTTCCCCAATCCCTAAATCTCCAAATCCCTAATCCCTAAAACGTCGGCAACGCACTCGTAACTCCTCTGTTGCGGGTGTCCATGGGCGGCGTTGATTGCTTACCATCAGGTAATCCGTCTGCTCGTTTGCCGACTCATTACATAAAAAAAAAGTTTGAAATTTACTAGTTATTCTCGCGTGTTTTCACCCATTACTCAGCTCTATTTGATCGTAGCGTAATGTTTTGCCTATAGCATTCCGATCTATTAGTGAAAGAATTTTGGAAATCCGACCAGAGCGGTTCCAAAGATCATCCACTATATGCAAACTTATAAATTTTACCTCTTTATAATATTAGTATAGAAAAAGTTTTACTCACACCCACCTGTAACGAGTCCGGCGGATACACTACAAGATGTCTGAGCGTAAAGCCGAAGCCGTGCCGCGCGTCGGGGCGCTGGATAACGATGGTGCGGGGAGCCGACGCGTGCGCGGCTGGCGGCGCAGGCGCAGCCGTCGGAGGTGGCAGCGCCAGTGGCGCTTGCGTTAACGGTTGGGGCTGGAAGCGGAAAAAAAGACACGTCAGAAAGGATTCAATATATTCAGATACGGAGACGATGTAAGTTACAAAAAAAACCAATAGTCATTCATCGTGCACCTTAATTTTTTTCAAAACAATGTACCTATTGTAGATTTACGAAATTCCACAAAAAATAAAATCAATAATGTCTATTTATACTTTTTTTTTTAATTAAACGTTGCCCTGCAGTAGGATTTTCCTTTGTGCCGTGGGTGCGGTTACAAACATACAATTTCACATACACATGACACCCAGACCCGGAACAACAATTTGTGGATCACACAAAAAGTTGTTCTGTGCGGGAATCGAACCTGCGACACGTTGCACGGCAGCTAGTTGCCCAAACGCACCAACTGTGCAGTCGTAACAATGAAACAATTAATTTATTTTTGTAAATAGGCCATAAAACGGCACTGTTACACGTCAATTTATATGTGAAAAACTAGATGAAGCCGGAGTCATACTCTTCAAATTATCGCGCATTGTCACCATTCACTTGAAGTGAGTACGTAGGTAACCAAAACGCAGGAGCTAAGCGCAACAATATTCATAATTCATGGTATTAGGGACGCGTTCTCTATACCACACTCAATATGCACTGTGCAGCATTCAGACGTTCGTTAGGCGCATTTGATGACAACCTACACCTCGTTACAGTCGTTACCGACACCCCTTCTATGATAATCAAGGAGAAAATGATGCAAATCCGTAGAGAAACCAACCTTTAACTGATTATATTGTGAATTTTCGACGTAAATCAAGCTTAAGTAAGCTGCTTGTAGTTTGCTTAACGTTTTGTACGCAAGCGAGGCAGTTAGTGTCATCGAGTCGCGAATTAGGTACTTGGAATTATTGGACACGAGTGATTATTTTGATCGTAGTCTTTGTTATTTTAAAGTTGGAGATTGGAGAGGATTCACATATGAGACTTGAGATCTTGATTAAATATCCAGTGTATAAAGAATAATCCTCATCAGACATCTTTTTTGATACCTTGTCGTAACCAAAACATGTGTTGCTTACTTAAATATTATTACTATTTGCCAAATCAATCAAATCTGAACCCTACAAAATAGCCAAAGCAAATCTCATATTTGCACTTTAATTTTTTCATATTTGCACCCCTAAATCAATGTATTGAAAACTGCTTAACAAATCTGAACCTTACAAAATAGTCAAAGCTAATATTTTCCAGTGTACGCATTAATATATTAATGAGTTGTGACGTAAGAGTCCACGTGTCATTGTGAGTCAGTGTAAGAAGCCTCGCGGTGCGTCGCCATTGCGTGTCGTGTTACTTGGATTATCAGGGATCGTGTGTACCTACGGATCACGAACCTGATTTCTGACGCACCTTCCTGATTTATTGACTCTGTTAATTGGTTATGTAGAAGGGACTAGTTTATTTGCAATATCCTATTGACGTGTTTCATTAGGCGCCAAGGTTTCAAGTTCATTGGCGTTCTGTTGGAGTAGTGGAAGGAAAGAGGTTGATAAGAATGAAACTAAAAAGTCTGAGAAAATTGTAAAAGGTAAAATAAATACCATCCCGGCCTCATCCAACATTTAAAAATCTTTATACTAATCTATTAGTTACTCCCGCAATGTTAAATCTGAACTTATATCGATGAATAAAATATCTAGCACAATAAGAATTGTTAAATTCAAACCAGTAGTTTCGTAGATACGCGTGTTCAAACAAACAACCTCATCACTTTCTTAAGTATTACTATAAGTATAGATTAAGCTTTTTAACGTAAATTAAGATAAAAAAACGATGTATCTGAAAAAATTACATTGCTACATGGACTTTGGTAAACGAATTATCTTTTTTTCCCCAAAATTCAACCCCATACATTCAAGTAGTCTTGTTTGAATCACTTGACCACAGCTTGTAGTGTATTTAAAATTATGGAAGACTAGAAAGAAGCCCCGACCTGGTGTCAGGTGTCAGGCAGGGGAGCCATGGTCACCCGATCAGATTGTTGTTACCCTTCCGGATTTGTTTAAAGTTAAGAGACGTCAAGTTGACGCGTACAATTTAAGTCTACTTGATTTCATTTAGTGGTTATGTTACATTCCAAAAAAAGATGTTTCGTTGATTTGAGAACCTCCTTTCAATGTTTTTTTTTTTAATATTGCCTTCAGAATCTAGTACAGTACCATCAGTTAAGCAGTGATGCAATCGTTGATGGTAAGGCGCACTAGTTTATTAAGAGCCTATCTCTAGCCTTGAAGAACTAAATCATACGTTTCAATTATAAGAAGACTCACAAGAAAACACAGGCCTATTCTCTTACTACGGCGAACTAAAGTTACTTTTTAGTATTCATAGCTTTTGTCTAGTCATCAACTTGGGACTGAAATATTACTCAGCAAAACCTACACGATACATCTTAGCAGATTAATCGCTGTCAATAAACGACAAAGTAGAACTTTCCAGAAAGCAGCCATTAAAGGCCAGTCTCAATAACCTAGGTGTCAAAATTCTCTGGAAGGCAACGACTCCTTATTTCATTAGTCCGTTAGGGTCAAGGTTTTTGACCTCAGACGTAGGTCTGAATAGCCTAGGAAGGTCGGTGGCTGTGTAAGGAGTATTTATGAGGTATGTCATTAATCACGGTGAGACGGGAGCTAGCAGATAATTAGCGTATTGCAAGTTGGATGCGTTATGCCTACAGTGTGATTGAATTAAGTAGATATTTAGGGATATTACTGGTTTAAAGTTTGGAGACTTCATAGCAGATCACAAAGTTTATGGTTAATATTACTTATAATATAGCCAACATTATGTTTCTTCGTATAAAAATTTAAAAGGGACAAAGATAGCACTTCCTAGAAGGGTAGCACAAAGGTTTTTGTAAGTGCTAACTGCAAGTATTTTTACGTAAATGCAATCGAAACGATACCATGATTAACTCTCTCTCTCTTTTCTCTTATTGGCCAATCAGGGCGCTTTACGTCATAAACTTATCAATAACGTAACGTAAAGCAAAATTGCACTAGGCACTCAATGCTTTTGCATATGGACATTGTAAAATCGATTCCTATACATTTATCTAAGTGTTATAGTGTGTAATAAAAGGAAAACAGTATTTATGTAAATAAGAATTCTAAATACAAGTGCAAGGATCGTAACATGACGTTTTAGATGCAGATGTGAAAGTGAGTAGGTAACTACGTAAAACTATAAAATCGTTTAGTTTCGATCACAAGAGACCCTTTCTACATGAATTAGCAATAATTATGTAAATATCAGATAATTATGTTAAATAATGTATCTGGAGAGCGCCATGTTATAGGTACAGATTGAGTTTTAATGCAAAATAAGCACTAAGTATCTGTAAAACTAATGTTTTACGATTTAGCACTATTCTTAGACGTCCAAACTTAGATATCTTACTTTGTAAAAAAACTTTCTATATTTCTATGTGGGTTAAGAAATATCATTAAAATACCTTTATTTACTTTATTAACTATGGAATTAGAATACCTACTTATATCTGTTATGATAGTTGTTAGTGATAGAAAAATAAATGAATACTATAAGAAACTCTTTTAACGTAGTCGTACTTTACTCCGACCTATTTTAATAACAAAAAAAAAACATTTAGGCGGGAAATTCAAAATACGAACGCCAACTTTTACCAGGTAACAAAATTAGATACAAATGTCAAAATTTCGCGGCAAAACGTCAGAGAAGACATATATTCTGAGATAGTTTATATTGTGTGAAGAATATAACAAATTGTTTTACGTCTGTTTAATTGATAAATAGACTTAGCAAAAAATTGGCAAGATGGAGTCGTTTTAAAAATGCCCGTCTATATGAGTATGAGCCGGACGTTTTCAGACACGATGAATAAGATAAGTGATTTTAGGATGCGAAAATCATCAAATGACTTCTACTTCTGGGTGGGAATGTCTGACTCTTACTGGCTGAAACCGTACCTTCTTCTGGTCCAGGAAAGCAATGCACAAAATATAAGTGGATAGTAGTCATTAATTTGCAACCACTTAGGTAAAGAAATATCAGTTACCATTTATAAACTTGATCAATACATCACTTTCATAACAATCAATTTCCACGACAAGAACGAAATAACTAGACACAAGATTAGGTATCTTCATTGACCACTTTTCCTTTGAATTCAAACCCTATGATACAGTTCTTAGGACACAATTCAGAATTGGCACTCTGTCATTAATTCCAACAAAAACCACACCATTTTAATCCACATCAAAATATGCAAGTCATTTTGTAAAACATGAAAAAATAAACAATTCACTTTTAATAAAAATAACACTTCCTTATTTAAGTAAAACAAACTGAGTATAAACAAGCTAAGGGTTCAATTTCCAAAATTGATTGATAATGATTGATTGACATAATTTAATTAAAACATTCAATTTTTTTATTTGTGTGTATTGGTCAATGGCTAGTTAATACTCAGACGTTCTATTTACTTATGTGTGTGAATTAACAATGATGGAATACGCTTCAAGTCGGAACGCGTCGAAAATGACGTATCAATTATTGAGTCATGAACAATCCTAACCTTATTTGATTTGTTGAAGGAAAACATTATATTTTTACTAATTTGCTTTTACATGTAATGAAATGTATCGACTGTACTGTAGAGAAGATGTAGGTACCGCTTAAAGTTTCTCTGACGTCATTTTAATTTTTCATCCCATTCAAGAAAAGTATGTTAAGTAACTTGATTGCTTACAACATCATGATTATTGCGTAAATTAACTTACTGACAATGTTATAAAAAAATTTGTGACACATGAGCTCTGCATAGCTTTTTTTCAGTTCGTCTTAGACCTTTCGAATTAAAACTGTCTGAAACTAGGCACTGGTGTTAACATTTTATTTAAATGAAGGATCGTGTCACAAAAACTAAAGTAGCGTAACTACATAATTAGCCGATTAATTACAGCTTAAACGTGCACTCGTTTTATTTTAAATAATT